TCTGTAATGGAATACATTTTAAAAGTAACCTTCCCAACAGTGAAAATGAAGACATCTGGAACAACACACTTGTTTTCTTTCACATGTTGGAATGCCATTTCGATGGGAGAGGTGCTATGAGCTGCATACCTAAAAGGTACCTAACCCTGGTTCCTCTCTCTGTTTCAGGCCCACATGATCATTCGGGTATTGCACTGAAGAACCTTTTCTGCTCCAGTCCAGACACAGAAGCCCTGGAGGTGAGAGAGTCATGTCCTTGAATACACCCAACAACGGCGCCAACACACACACACGCACACACACCACACACACGCACACACACGCACGCACACACACACGCAGTGGCTCACATCCTGTTGTTCACACATTCTGTACACCCCCACAGTCCTATGCTATCTCTCACATACAGTCCTTCACGCTCTACAGTACAGTACCTCCCACACACACACACACACACACACACACACACACACACACACACACACACAGAGTATCTCAGACAGCTTCAATATAAAACCTCTTTCAGTTTGTCTCAGCCTTGCATCCTGCAGAACTTTAAAGAAAAGCTCTTCACTCCTGCATCACCCCATTAATGGCTTGTTTCATAGAAATAACCCTTCAATTTATTTATTTTTTTCTCAGTATTGCAGGAAAGTTTTGCCATGCCTTAAGTGGCACTTTTTGCCAAGTCAGATTGACATTGAGGTTGTTGTTAACACTGTGTGCTTGTCTCTGGTCGCCCCGGAAGAAAAACAACAACATGGAGAGCCTAATGTCTCCTGACATCAGGAGGTCTTCCAAACGGGTCCGGATATCCGTCGTGGTAAGAGCCACCGATCTGGGCCTGGAACTGCCTGTCAACAGGTTCATCAGTCAATCAACTGATTGTCACCCTACCATTCCATCCCAGGGCTAATCCTACATGCCGATGGATGTGATGATGCATGCCATCGTGCTAAAAAAGTGCAGAACATCGTCTTTCTTGTCCAGCCTGTAACTCCATCTGACCTCTCACTGCCTCTAGTCAGTGATATTATTGGCAAAGGCTGCCATCCATTCAGCTTAACCAGTTTCCACTGGTCCGATGGTCAGTTAAGGTTATGCAGAGTACTTGACCACTGAAATCCACTACTGCTGAGTGCTAATGCCAGCGATGCATCATTGGGACCTGTGTGCCATTGTGAACCAAATTGCCTTTTTTAGTTTGTGGATAAAAAGCATGATGTGGTATGCACGACACCACCAAGCATGCACTAGTTAATAGTCGTTAAGGGTAATTTAACTGTGCCCAAAAATACTCAGAAATTACTCGAATATTACTCGAGCACTGTTGCCGCACAGCAAGAAGGTCCTGAGTTCAATTCCACCATCAGGCCGGGGTCTTTCTGTGTGGAGTTCGCATGTTCTTCCCGTGTTTCCGTAGGTTCTCTCCGGGTACTCCGGCTTCCTCCCACCATCCAAAGACATGCAGCTTGTGGGGATAGGTTAATTGGATAATCCAAATTGCCACTAGGTGTGAATGTGAGTGCGAATGTGAGTGCGAATGGTTGTCTGTCCCTTTGTGTTAGCCCTGCGACACACTGGCGACCTGTCCAGGGTGTACCCCGCCTCTCGCCCCATGACAGCTGGGATAGGCTCCAGCGCCCCCCGCGACCCTGAAAAGGATAAGCGGAAGCGAATGGATGGATGGACTAATGCAAATCCTCAGATCCTGTGCATCAGATGAAGCCTTTTAATTGTATTAAAATGGAAATTCAATGGCAAAAGAACAGCCTTCACCACAATTTCTGCCTGAAATAAAAAGTTTTAATCCATCCGCTCATTATCTGCTGCTTATCTGGGTTTGGGTTGCATGGAAGTCTAGACTTGCCCCAACCTGGCCCTCTCTTCTTCTACTTTGTCTGGTATAAGTGAAGGGGCTCGGAAGCTCCACCCACCTTCTTTAGCAGAAGATGTTTGCTGAAAAGAAGAGGCGAGGAATTTAAAGTGGCTTGTTTCAGATAGTGGATGAATTGAGGTGCTCCACCAGGCCCCAGTATGAGATCAAAAGAATTATTCTGACCCGAGTCCAGAAATCGGAAACGAGCATGTTTGGTCCAGTTTAATAAAACCTGCTTAATGTGATTTATGTTGCAAAATTTATTTGTGATTGTGGATCTAAAGTCTTCTCCACTTTGACATGGTCCAGCTACTGTCTTATTTTATTAAGATGTAGTGGAGCTGTGGTCAAGTATTCTTCAAGGACAATACTGTTCAATCATGCATGCTGTGCTGTCCATCATCAGCCGTGTCACCCGAGGCGTCCAATCAGTGATCGCCTCCCAGAGCAGGCTCTGCCCTGTTTCTGGTGTGACCTAAAATCTGGTGTTATCTTTTGCAGCCGACTTCTCTGGCGGCCCACGTCTTAAGTGTTCAGTGGGGGGGAGGGAAAAGTCGTGCTGTGGCAGACTCACCTGTGCATGCAGCATTAAATATCAGAATAGGAGCATCATATCTCTTCATTAGCATCAGGCACGCTTTAGAATGGCAGCGTTCTTAGACAAGCTCACGGGAAATGATGATGATGATGCATGAGAAGTATTGGGAAGTACCGGAGAATATCCATGTAAACTGGAATGCTCATCCCGCCGTCCAATTACTACAGCATGTCAATCAATGGAGCAAGTGTCTGATTATAAATTGAGAAAAATGATTTGGCGACGTAGGATCAGTCAGCATTGCATGACAAATGATCAGACATCAGCAGACGACACCAATTTCTGAAAATCAAACACTGTTAAGGTCAATTAATCATGTATTCTGACAGAATAAGTTCACATTTGTTCATTAATTAGCATCAATGATTTATTCATAGTCTAGCCTTTGTCGCATCAGACTGTCACATTGTTTTTCACTCATCACGTGTCGCTTCATTCACTAGGAGCCACCACCCAGCCTAAAGAGTTTCTCTGCGGTGAGCATGTTGTCCACATTGCTTTGAAACATTTTTGGTTAAATGTCTGGTTCAGACTAATATTCAAAAGCAGTATATATAATTTTTCAATCTTTTGATTTGAAACTTTTTGTTATCATCACAATGTAATCAAGCATACCGAGCGCACTGAAAAAAGAAAATAGAAAACCACTTTATTTTCACTCATACTTGGCTTGCAAATTTTGAGTCCTGGAGATATTAGTTTGTCTGGTTTCTGTAAGACTTTAGTGGAGCACCGAAATGTTTGTTTCTTTGTTTTTTAATTAATAACAGCTGAGCCGAATGACCAATAAAAAAATTAGGTTGAGTATTTACTGTAGCTCGGGTGTGCTGAGCTGTAGCCCCTTATCTGTTTGCCACACACTGCAGAAAGCAAAGAGGTCGGTGAAGTGACGGGTGGAATTTTACAGGAGCTGACAGTACAGTCATTGCAGTATGCCAAGCAAACAGTCAAATCACC